CCCCAAAACCCCAAAACCCCAAAACCCCAAAACCCCAAAACCCCGTCTTTTTTAATTCGAATTGAAATACTGATGAGGTCTGAAATCAAAAATACACTTCATGATAGAATATTACAGACTATTATTTCTCGTATAGTGACTCTCTATTTTGTAGTGCGTCATTAACCTGTTGGTCACTTTTAGCATCTTCTTTAGGCATCAGCAGAAATTTCTGGAGATTCATAAAAGGAATCTCTCATCAGAGAGTAAACGGTATACTCACAAGGAATGCTGTTGGGACGATAGCACTTGTAGCCACTACAGCATTGAAGAAATTACTCCATTCACCATGTCTAAAATCTGCAAAGAAGAAAAGGATCACAGGCATATGTAAGAGGTAGGTAAAATTTTCTAATTTTGCACCTACTACCATGAAGTCAGACCCCATGAAACTTTTGTACCAAGAAATTCTCCCTTCAAAAGTAGGGAGAATCATCAGCATTGCTCCAAGGACAAAAGCCATACTACTAAAACCATTAAAGATCATATTTGCAGCTGGTGGCCATGGATTGATTTCTAAATTTCCTTGGAGAAAACTATGTTGAATAAACAACCAGAATAATGAGATAAAAACTCCAATAATGAATCAGAGTGTGCTCAGAATTCTTCGTTTATGAAATGATCCATATACTTTTGTCCCTACAGCCTCCGTCAAATGTTCATGAGAGTCTTGATTCTTATACTCAAAGTAGAACAGTCCAAAGATTGCACCAATGCCATAAGGAGCAAAGTTGTTCCATGGTTTACCAAACATATAAGTCCAAAAATCATATTCAGAATCTGCCGTCATTAGGATTCCTAGGCCTAAAATTTTAGTCATTACCATGTTCAAAATAACATTCCCAATTATTGCCAAAATGATCACGATGTAACCAACTTTTCGATTTTTTCAGTAAATGAAAGCCAAGAATGGTCAAAAGAGAAAGAAGAAAAACTCATTGGAGAGGTACCAAGTCCAATCGAGGCAGATATCTTCAAAAGCCCATGGCCATACAGGGTTAATATACGTCAGAGTTGTCCACCAGTATCTCTCTCATTTTGGGAAACTCGTGATTTCAGCAAACCTAGCCCCACTTCCAAGATGGGGTAAAATAAACAGGGTAAACAACATGGTGAATCCAAGAGGAATTGTGAACTCCAAATATTTATTGAGTACTACAAGCGGATAGTTCACAAATCTCTTCCCATACATCTTAGTTGTCAACTGATAGATATGAGTGAAACCAGCTACGAGGAAAAAGATATCCACTCCAAAGAGACCTGATGGTGCTAAATTATCAATCCAATTTGAAAGATTTTGAGAAGCAGTCTGAGTGTTGATGAAAGGAATCCTATAGAAGAAATAGACTTGATACAGCATTATCCATGAGATTGACAAGGCTCTGAGTCCACACATTACTTTCATACCAGAATCCATCTTCTGGTCTATGGTGAAAAGCTTGTCAGTGTTGTTTATCAAAGAGAATTTGTACAGAAATAACCCAAAGAAATTAAGATTAGCTTCCTTTTTATTTGAGGGATCTGCTCCAGACTTATCCAGAATTGAAGTAGTCTCAGCAAATATCCCTCCAAGTCAAAGTAAGATAATAACTCAGAATAATGCAATCGTGGCCCATGTTCCCACATTTGGAGATAGAGCATCATCAAATGGGAACGAAACTGATAATTCAGCATCTTCGAATCCTAAATCTTTCAATTGCCGATCAGCCCACTGTTTAAACCCTGTAAAATCTTCTTCGGAGTCACATTGAATAGGCGCTCAAAATCCAAGCATATGAACACTTGGCATATTTTGAATAGTCAAAATAACATATCTTGTATGAGGGAAATTATGACAGCTTTCTTCATTCCCAGGCTGATTAAGACCTCTTCCAGATTGCATAAACATATTCATTTGGATTGGAGTTCCCTCAGGAGTGAATGAATACCTAATGGCATCAACTCATTCTGTGGTTCCTTTACCACTCTGAACAATTTCTAAACGGCCTTCTTTTGGTCGTTTCTCTTGATGAGTCCCACTAGCTTTGCCAAAGATGCTAAAATATAGCAAAAATATCAAAAAATTTATTTTTCTTGCCATATTCCTTAGAATTTTTAAATAACGTCCAATCTTTTCTATTTATAGAATTTTGAAGGGGTTTTGGGGTTTTGGGGTTTTGGGGTTTTGGGG